TGAAAGCTGTTATACTGAAGTCCACAGCACTTGGTTGGTTTTAATAATGCAGAGTAAGTAACTTCCACCTCAGTTGGCAGACAAGTTGCATCTGCTTCATCTCATTATTGCCAGAACAAAGATGAACAGAAACTCAGTATCATTCTTTGCTAACTTTCAATCTTTTATGGTACAGTACTTGAATCTGTGAATCATGACACCATCTGCACAGAAGGAGGATCTAGGACTTAGGATGCTCTTCTTATTATGACACTAGTTTCCTAGTCATAAGTGGTTTTAAAAGCTTAATTTTTTTATGTCAAGTTGTTTCATCATTAACTTGTTTTTCTGAAGAGGGACCACAGTAAGGCTGTGATGCATCATCTTTTTTACAGTTTGCACATTTTGTTAAGAATTCTGTTAATCAAGGATAAATTAACCACAGTAGGACAAACAGGCACTAGTATGATATATTGTTTAATCAGCTAAATATCTGGCCATTCATAATGTTTGTTCCTTATCTGGTTTTGATTTTCTTTTTGCATCTTGTCCTGACAGGTGTGTGCCAAATCACTGTGAACATGGTGGTAAATGCACCCAAACCTGGGATGGCTTCAAGTGTACATGTGATGGAACTGGATACAGTGGTGCCACTTGTCATAATTGTAAGTGATACTGTAAATTGTTTCCCAGGCATAATATAGAATGGACATATGTAATGCTGATGCTTTTTTGTTGAGATGTACAGACAAAGTCCTAAAGTTTAAACTTGCTAAAGAAGCCCATGCTATTTTTTAGCACGTGGAGGAGAAAAAAGGATATTTACCTTGGTGTCATGTCTACATTTCAGTTGCTACCTAAAATTCCACTCTGGAGTTTCAAATGGATGCAATGATTCTCTCCTAACCAATTATTGGAAGCTCTGCCACTGGTGGTAATGTAAGATCAATAATACTGAAACTTATAAGCAAACTGATCCTTCTGACAATTTTTCAGTTAAACTATTACCTATGTTTTAGTAAGTGCTACAAGCAACAGTGTTAACCACTTACGTTCCTGTACTGACTGCAGCTGCTGCTACTTGATATCCTGGAGATAAGAAGCTAAGAAAAGGAGTCCTTGTATATTATACAGAAACTAGCATACATATGCAGGGCCAGCTACTGTGGGGTTCTTGCAGGGGGAGTGTTGGTTTAGTCTCCCTAGCAAACTTTTATACTTCTTACCTTGAAAATGTCCATTATTTTGTCACTTTCTCCATGTATGTGCTTATATAACACATTCTTCATATTAAGGAGAGAATGAATAGGTAAGATTTGCCAGCAGAACTGCAAACAGGGTATTTCTGAAGAGGCAGAAAATCCAATTTCCAGTCTACTTCAGACTTTCATATTTCTATTTACGCTATAACATTTACTTGAAGCTAGAGCTATATGAAATATTGACCTGCAAATCTGAAAGGTGCAACCTGTAGTTTTTGTCTTCTGTAGCATTTTACTTACACTGATGAAAAATGGTGATACTTTACACGTTTTCTGTCTGTCCTCAAAATCTGTTCTGTATTTGAGCAAAAACTTCTTTGTGAACGTGAATATAACTCTTATCTTGTAAAACAAACAAAAAAAACCCAGTTATATTCTGGGGGACAAGGAACACTTTCTGAAAGGACTCCCAATATTTGCTTTTAAATGCATCATTATTTAATGATCAAGATATATGATATTATTCAGAAATCAGCAATACAGCGGTTCACTGGCAAACAAACAAGTTTTTGGAGAGTGGTGGGGACAGCTTCCTGGTGCAAGAAGAGGCCAGCTAGGGGCTGTGCTTTTCTTGACCTGCTGCTCACAGGAGAGACGTTGCTGAAGAGCTTGGTTTTGGAGTGCCTTGATGTTAAATCTCTTCTGCATTCCTTTTAAGTTGTTTACAGTGTTGTGGTGCAAGCTGTATGTCCATGATTGATCTGACTAAATGGTGGTCCATCCAACAGTCATCTGCACCTCTCAAGACTCGGGTGATAGGGACATCAGTACAGTCACTGGCTTTGACAATAATATAGTCAAAAAGGTCCAGTGATTGGAGCGTAGGTGCTTTCAAGTGGTCTTATATTTGTCACTCTGTGTGAAGATATCATTATGATGAACAAGTTATGCTCTGAATATTTGCTGAGGAGAAAGGTACCAATGGAACTGACTTTCCCCACCCCGTCTTTCCCAATGGTGCCACTCCAGAGTTCGGAGTGTTGCCCAACTCTTGTACTGAAGTCATCCATGAGGATGAGCTTGTCTTCCTTGGCAGTGGCAGTCTGGACTGTGTCAAAAGCACAGTAGAACTGTTCCTTGTTGACTTCATCGTCATCGAGTGTGGGGGTGTACGCACTGATGACTGTAACATACTAGCTGCTACAGAGCTTGAGGCAGTCATACTAGATTGTTACATTTCAAAGAGATATGATGAATAGGGCCCTGAGAAGACTGCAATTTCACGGACGTTACAGATACCATGAAATTAGCCCCTCACCATGATTTTTAAGGGTCCTGAGCCTGTGCCAGAAAAATGCAGAAAGTGCAGATTTCCCTTTGCAAGCTGGCAGCATTCACAGCCTGCAAGCAGCTCCTGGGGGTGTGGCCAGGATGCATCCAGTCAGCCAAATGAAGGTAAGTGTATCATTTTTCACGGAATGGTCGACCAGGACCCATTTTCCAAGATAAATGGTAGTTCCATGAATATTCTGTGAAAAATGATACTTTACCTGTGCACATGCCACAAATTTTGTACAAGGAAACTACAATTTTCTCAAGGCCCAAATGATAAGTAAATGCTATTTTATTAGAGAGAAGACATGCCATGTATATATGACCAAATATGAAGTCCCTATGAAAACAAAATCCTAGTAAGAGCAAGGCAAGGCAAGAATCTATGCCATTTCATAATTAAGTAGTATTTTGGCAAAATAAGGAAAATAATTTTATACATTTATTTGTTGAGCCCTTGAACTATGATTTTTTTTTCATGTGCTCTGCCGTCTTTAATGGGTTTTTTAAAATAAATAAGTATAAGTTACATTTCCTCCTTGAGTCCCAAGGAGAAAGCACAGGGAGATGGGATCATGTTCATTTCACAGGAAAGTATAATAATCCCGGTAGTTGAGCATTTTTTTCTTAATAGAATTTTCACCTGTCCTCTGTGGGTAAAATAGTACAATAGGGGAAGGAAAAGGTGCTACTAGCCCAAAGTATCAAAAGGGGATTTAAAGTTCATTGGCCTCTTTTTCAGATACAGGAGGGATAAAGCACATAGGATTATAGCTTTGCAGGTCACCTAGAGAGGCAGCCCAGGAACCTTTACCTTTGTAATGCAACCAAAGTTTCAAACTAATCCCTTTCTTGATGTATTGCTTTGGAAAGGCTGCTAAAATTTCTTTAAAGGATTTCATTTCAGTTTTTTCCATGAATGTTCCTGTATTTTTTTAATTGTTTTCTTCTCTTCAGGGGAAAAAAATCTCTTCTGGCCAAAACTTATTTGCTGACTTAAAAAACCAAAACAACAAAAGCTGCTTTGTGGGGGCTAATGCCCTTTTAGGATGTTCAATTCAATGATGCTCAGACCAAGAGGTAGAGTATTCATGGACGTGCCCACACAACATTTACTTAAATCCACTGGAGCTGGCAATAGTCACCACAAATTATCTGCAGACTGCAGGCACACTAACTTGTAATGTTTCATAGATGCAGTCCTTCCTTCCTTTTCATTTCTTTGTGACAAGGTATTTAGCAGAATTCACAGCTTTATTGGAATTTGATAGGGCCACACTGTGAACGCTTCTGCTGTGTCCTCAAATTTGCAACGTCTAGGCTGTCCACCATGTGCCTTAGTGACCATGCCATCTCAGCCCCTGTAGCTGCAGTGATTCTGTGGAGTGGCCTCCACAGAGGGTGTAGGTGGGTTGTCTGTGGTAGTTTCCCAAAACAAAAAATTTGCCCTAGAGAAGATGATACATTTCTTTCTTGCAATGGTGGTCCTCTTTCCTAATTCTTCAGTGTTCGGCATTACCTGCCAAGGCAGATTTCAAACATGTATTTTATGGGATATCATTTGAAGAAGGCAGCATTCAATTGCATTGCCATATACTTTATTCTGACTTTCTTGATTTTTCAGATTCTTAAGTTTTTTTCTGAATTGGACTCCAAGAAAGAGCACAACACATACAAAATAACTTCATTTCTGCATATTAGTGAATTTTTTTATCGGTGAATTGATTTTTGGTTTGCACTGAGAATTCTGCACTTTTCTGTGCTTTTGATCCAAAACCAGGCAAAGCTTTGCAGCTTTGGCTGAATTTCATTTTTGGGAGTGTTTGAAGCTGAAACTCAAAGCCAAACTCAAGGGATAGCTTCCTTGAACTAAAACAGAAAAAAAAAGTCTGCAAGCAACCCATGTGAATCCAAACGGCTTTATTTCACAGTCCTGGTCATAATATATTTATCAAATGACAGTGGAAGCTACAATATCCAATCTCTGACAGACCCCATCAATCCCCTTGTAGACCCCTCTAGTCCCCCAATCTCTCCAAGCCCCCCACAAATTCCACCTTCCCCCTTCAAGCCCTCCCATGGATCCCACATTCCCCCTGATCCCCCTGCATACCCTGCCAGCCCCCACAAACCCATGAACCCCTCACAACAAAAGACCCCTCTCGCCCTCCCCAATCCCTCCAAAACCTCCCCCACTAGTCCCTCCCATCCTTACATTTATCTTAAATTGGGTGGCCATTTTGAACTCAATCTAACCTCCCCAAATGTCTGTATGTACCCTATGTGATACCTCGTATTGCTGTCTGTATGGACAAAGGGCTAATTTTGATTCTTGATTATGGTTCTTGCCAAATTCAGTAATCAGAAAAACAAATTTAATCTGCACAAACTATCCCTTTCATGGTGGAACTACTTAAATTCCAGCAAGACCTCTGGTGATTCACTTAAAAAATATCAACATTTTGCCCTTTTTCCTGCTTCTAGCTAAAACAATAGCATGATAATGGACTTTTGCCTACTATAGTTTTTCTGTATATAAATACAATTTTGATCTAAATAAATTTATTTTGGAGAAAACAGGGACAGTTTAGAAGTAAAGAATAAACATGGTATGCTTTATCTGTAGCATAAAGATCAAAATGGCTGCTTTCCCTGCATGCAGGCAGAATTGTCAGAAGTGTAATGATGTATAAAAAAAGCAAGGACATTTCATTATGTTAAACAGAATACTGTTTTTGTTTTGTTTTGTTTCTCTTTGTTATTTTTTAAACTAAATCACAAACTTACCATTTTTCTTTCATGCAATATAATAAAAGAAAAGGGTGATGTTTGAATGAGAGAAGGAACACCTTTCAAGATATATAGTCAGAGAGATGAATAACTGACCATGCTGGAAGTTTTCTTTTTTTTTCCTATACAGCCTAATCTGAGTGAAATGTACATAGCCAGGCAATCTACTAATAAGGGTATTTTGGCACTTGTGAAATAGTGTACAAGAATATGGACACATAAATACTCTAATAATAGAAGAATGTCCACAAGCAGTATGGGTACACAGATCAGCAACAGGATCATCATCATCAGTGGATAATCAGCTGCTGACTGTCATCTATTGGGAAAAAATAAGAAAC